TATATGATATATTACGATCAGAATGTAGTCAAATAAAATCAAAAAGACAAATTAGAAAACAATTTTACATGAGTTGTAAAAATATAGATTTACCTAAACAATATGGATGTCATAGAAAATTTAGGCAGAAGAAGCCATATAGAAAAAGCTATAGAAAATATAAACCTTATAAACAACAATATAAAAATTTTAGAATCCAACCTTCAAAAACTTTTAGAAGAAGAAAATATATCCCTAAACAATTTAGGAAAATATCAAATAAACCATGGATTAGAAAGTATAAAGTACCTAATAAAAGTACATGTAAATGTTATCTTTGTGGTGAAGTAGGACATATCAGACCTAAGTGTCCCAAATTAGGAAAACAACCTAGAGAAAAAAATACAATTAATTGAACAATTTCAATTAGAAGATGATGAGGACTTAGAATCAATCTATCGTCTAGATGACAATTTAAGTGATAATGAAAGTATTTATAGTGTTTATGCCTTAGACTCAGAATCAGAATTAGATTACTCTAGTAATTCCGATAGTGAATTAGATGAACATATATGTATGTTTGAAGAACAAAAAGAGCATGAAGAATTTAAATATGTTAATTTAGGATGGCCTCAAGAATGTAATCATTGTAAGAAAATAGTGGCAGAAAAATATTACATTAAGACCATAGTTTATTGTAAGCCTTGTTTCAAGAATAGATCAATAGAAATAAATACATTTGAAATAGATAGTCAACAGAATAATTGCCCTAGTATAGAGAAACAAAAGACTAGTTCATTAATAACAATTAATTGTGAGTTAGAATTGTCAAAAGAAAATAAAATTCAAACAACAGCCATGATAGATACAGGAAGCACAAAAAATGTAATAAAAGAAGAGTTAGTACCAGAACAATTTAGGCAGAAATTAGCTAGACCAGTAAGAATCATACAGTTTGATACAAGACATGTATACCTAACACATTGTATTAATAATATACCAATTAGGATAGAAAGACAGCAGTTTAATTTACCCTTAACATTTATATCTCCAGTAGGATCATATCCCTTTATCTTAGGATTAAATTTCTTAAAAAGTTTACAAGGAGGATTTTTATATGCACCTCCAGACATTACATTTTTTTAAGAAAGGTATAACCACAACAGATCAAAGTAATATATTAGAGTCTTACAATAGTATTAACATAGAAGGACAAAATTTTAAATATAACATGGAAGAATTATAAGAAATAAGTAAAGAAAAAATAGATGAACAAAATAATCTAGAATATGATAATATAATATTTGATCATGATTATCCACTTATAGGAAACCTAGAACCTTTAGAAATTATGCAAATAGATAGACCAAAAAATTTAGAAGAATTGTTACTATTAGCTGAACAAACTAGAATTATAGGAGAAGGTCCCCAATTACATTGGAATAAGAATAAGATATTAGCAAAATTAGACATTATTAATCCAGACTTAACAATTAAAACAGCAGATATGCCTTGTAACTTGTTAGATAAGAAAGAATTTGAACAACAAATAAAAGAACTTTTAAACTTAAAAGTAATTAGACCTTCAAAGTCTAGACATAGATTAGCAGCCTTTGTAGTTAGAAAACATTCAGAACTTAAGAGAGGTAAAGCTAGAATAGTATATAATTATAAGAGATTAAATGATAATACTTATGAATATAGTTATAAACTACCAAATAAAGATGAACTTATGAATAAAATTCAAGAAAGTAAATATTTTATTAAGTTTGATTGTAAATCAGGATTTTGGCAAATTAGATTTGCAGAAGAATCAATCCAATGGACAACATTTACCTGTCCAGAAGGACATTTTGAATGGTTTGTAATGCCATTTGGATTAAAAAATGCACCATCAATCTTTCAAAGAAAGATGGACCAAATATTTAAGAAGTATGATAATTTTTGTAGTGTATATGTAGATGACATATTAGTTCATAGTAAAAATAAAAATGAACATAGAAAACACTTAGAAATTATTTTGAAAGAATTTATTGATAATGGTATAGTTATAAGTAGAAATAAAGTAGAACACATAGCTAAAAAAGTCAGGAACCATACAATTACAAGAACACATAGCTAAAAAAGTGTTAGAGTTTCCAGAGAAGTTAGAGGATAAAAAGCAATTACAAGCATTCTTAGGTTTATTAAATTATACTAGAAGTTTTATCCCTGATTTAGGAAGAAAAATTGCAGCTTTACATAGCAAAACTAGTAAAACATGACAGAAATATTTTAATAGTGAAGATATTAAGTTAGTTCAAAGTATAAAACAAGATATAACTCAACTTAAACCTTTAGCATTACCATTAGATAATAATTACAAAATAGTTGAAACAGATGCATCATCAATAGGATGGGCAGGAATATTATATCAGAAGAAACATAAGGAATAACCAAAATCTGAAGAAAAAGTTTGTAGTTATGCATCAGGAAAATTTAATGATATACAGGCTAGACTTCCAGCCACTGACTTAGAAATATTATGAGTAATTAATTCCCTTGAAGCATTTTCATTGTTTTTACATAATGAAATATTTACTATTAGAACAGATTGTCAGAATATTGTTTCTCATTATAATAAAATTACTACTAATAAACAAGCAGCATGAAGATTGGTCAATTTTGTTGATTCTATTACAGGAAATGGGTTTAAGCCGATATTTGAGAATGTTAAAGGTATGGATAATACTTTAGCAGATATCTTATCCCATATTATTCGTTAACAGGTATGCAGTATTTTGGACCATCATCATCTGACAGCAAAAATAATGATATACCATCACCTGGTGGTAATCCATTAAGCATAAGTAATCAAGCACGATCAGTAGTAAATACTTATTTTTATAATAGAATATCAGTACAAGAAGTTAGAAATCCTTCTTTAAAATATCGTACTCAAGCATCATTAGTAGAAAAACAAAAAGTTCTTTTAGATAACTTTTGGAAAATTAGAACTAATACTGAAAGCATGAGAAGAGGGCATGAAAAGCTTATTAGAGCCCTTGAGCAAGAGTTTTTAGCATATAATTATGATTATAAAATAGCAAAACAACACCTTTCTTTTTTGCAGGAAAAATATGCAGTGCAAAAAAGGGAATATGATACAATAGTTAAGCATTTTAGAATTATTAATTTAAGATGTCAAATTCTACAAGAAGAGGCTAATAAGTCCACCGTAATTGAGCATAATTTACAGGAAAAAGAGGCTAATAAGCCCAACTTACTTGAGCATAATAGTGAATTTTTACTTGAGCAAAAATCTAAAAATCCTTATTTTCTTCAAACTCTAACTAGAGAAAGGTATAAATTTCTACCAGTAGATGTTAAGAGTCACATAATTGAATTAGAATATGAGCAAAATACATCTCTTCAGCTTTATATCCAAGCTTTTCTTTTCAATTTAAAAAGCAATCCACATCCTGGCATCAAAATTATTACCAAAATTTGTTCGCATTACATTATACACTTAGCTAGTGTTAATATGGTCGAATATAGAGAATTGCATTTAGAGCATAAACAAAAAATAATCGTAGTTACTCCAGCATTATTAGCACAATATGGTTATTTAGGGCAACTTTATATTGAAAAAGGCGAGCATTTAGATTCATTCTCCCAAAAATTTAGAGAAATCATAAGTTTTTATCTACCTCTCTGGAAAAATGTAAAATTAGATTTCACTAGTATACCCCCAGAGTGGTTTCAAGATAGCATTTACCCAGATTTAGCACAACATAAAATTATTATTTGAATTACTTAGTCCGAAAGAATCAACACAAACAGGAATTCCTACTAAGCCAGATGTCCAACAATATAGAGGAGCAATAATAGCAGAGCAACAACTATTTAATGATGATCGTCTGACCCTCCTGTACCAGTCCAAATTTATCAAGGTGTATTCAGAATCCACATCCAGGAGACCAGATGATATATATGAATACAGGATCAGCACAACAGGAGCAAAAGTTTATGATGAAATGTCTAACCAGATAACAGAGCAGATTACAGCAGAAGACAGTGACAACACATACTGGAATAGCTTAGGAGAAGAAGAGCTACACAACATAGATAACATGATGGACGCATGAAGACCACGTGAAGAATCCATCCAGCAGAATAGTCGCAAAACTGTTTGGCTCCATACGACAGTACAAAGCAACATATGAAATGAAGAAATATTTCGATTTCATACGGCTAGGATTCCCTAGGAAATCTAGAAATGAATAAGGGTATTATTGTCCAACCACTTTAATTTTGTCCTTCTTTATAAATACTGTACCCATTTTGGGTTTATTTATAAGTCTTTTTTTCATGAAACCTCTTTATCCCAGAAACCAAAATCTAAAACCTAAAAGTCCAAAGACAAACCAAAATTTAACAACGAAATACAACAAATCCGAAATAATCCAGAAAACAGTTCAAAATATTCACCCTTCAAATAAAAAAAAAAATAAATTTAATAAAAAAAAAAAAAAAAAAAAAAAAAAAAAAAAAAAAAAAAGTTCAGTTCACTATTCACACTGTCCACCTACATCAAATTTAGTCCGTTGGCCCAACCATCACCATAAAAGTCCATGACGTCTTCTCTGATGCAATGCAACAATCCTAGCCGAATTTCCTCCTTTCTAAGATAGACACTTTGTCCTTGCACCTTCACGTGTGCGCTTACGAGATCGCCTACGTGTACAGCTACCAATCGTGCACGTGTACTTGTACAAATCCGTCGCCTACAAATCTCCACGAAAACATAAATTGAAGCCCATTCTCTGCTTTGTGTCTCAATGCTCTGTGCTTCTACTCGCTTTCTCTTACGAAGAAATCTCAGTGTAACTGCTTTATCTTCTTCACTGCTTTCTTCAAAGCAATTCTCGGCCAATTCCAAGCAGGCCCCTTTGCGTTTTTCACAGGTTTCGTTGTCTTCTCCGTCAATCGAAGTAGCGTTTTCGAGCCCGGTTTTGTGTACTTTGCGATCGAACAGTACAATGGCTAGCCAGTCTGGGAGTAAATCTATCCACGATTTCACTGTCAAGGTTGGTTTTTGAGGAATTTTGATTCTGTTTACTTCAGCTTTAGCCACGAATTCAATATTGAAGGCAAGTCGGTTCTTTTGATTTTCATTTTACATTTGGGTTTGGGGATCTTTGTTTGGTTAATAGCTTGGGTTGTTTCAATCTGTAATTTTGATGCAGAAATAGGGGATTTTACTTTGTTCACCCTTATTCTTTCTTGGATTTGAATAAAGGACAAGATTGATGTCATTACCCCAAAGAAAACATAAATTATGCTTATAATTCTTAGGTGATATTTTTAGAGTCATAAACAAGAGAACTTTATTTTCAAAAAAATGGTGACCCATACGGATTATTGATTGGAAAGGCCCTTACTTTAATTCAGTTGCCTCTCATTTTCATGCCAGTATTTGTGTTTTCAGGTGTTGTTCTGTGATGATAATTGGGTTTTAATTATCTTTCTTAGTATTGAATATCTCAGTAGGTTTGGATTGTGCCTTTGGAGCCAACCCTTCTCTCAGTTGATTTGTCAACTAACTAGATAATGGGGTTTATTTGGAAATTGATATCTATGCAAATCTCTTCCATGTTTCATCGCTTCACTGAGAATTTGATGTGTATAATATGTCCTTTTACTTGCAGGATGCCAAGGGTAAAGATGTTGATCTTAGCATCTACAAAGGGAAGGTTCTGTTGATTGTCAACGTTGCATCACAATGGTACACCATAGCTTCTTTTCCTTCTGACTTTCTCCCTTTACATTAAACAAAAATAATGTCTTAGTAATTAACCTTCTTCATAATTAGAAAGCAGCCTTTTCTGCCACCCATCTTTCTCTTTGATTGCAACCTTATTTATACAGTTTGCTATTTGATTTTGATGCAGTGGCTTGACTAATTCGAACTACACAGAGCTGAGTCAGTTGTACGAGAAATACAAAAATCAAGGTTTGCCTTTTCACTCCTTTCCTTTCACTTGTTCCTGTTTTTGATTTCTTTCTTTCTCACCCATGCTTATATTTCATCCTAAGACCATTTTCCTAGAAACTCTTATCTATTGAGGTGATTTTGCTTAGGCTGCTATGATCTTTTCCGGCTTTTTCTTTTGGTTGCTTTATAGTTTACTCTTGCATCTGTGGCCTTGTAGGTTTGGAAATCTTGGCATTCCCATGCAACCAGTTTGGAGCTCAGGAGCCAGGATCAAATGATGAGATTGTAGAGTTTGCTTGCACTCGCTTTAAGGCTGAGTATCCCATCTTTGATAAGGTAGAAGTTGTTTCCGATTTCATTTCGATGCGAATGAACTGTGAAAGCTTTTCCTTTCCTTGCATGGAGTTATGTTATTAACAAGAGCTGGAGATTGACATGTTTTCAATATGTGCTTCCAATTTTAGGTGGATGTGAATGGTGACACTGCTGCTCCCATTTACAAGTTCTTGAAGTCGAGCAAGGGTGGGCTCTTTGGTGACGGCATTAAGTGGAACTTCTCCAAATTCCTTGTTGACAAAGAAGGGAATGTTGTTGACCGTTATGCCCCTACAACTTCTCCTCTTAGCATTGAGGTAGAAAATCAATCTTCATGCCACTACCATTAATTTCATTTCAAGTGAAGTGATTTGATTTTTCTAATTGACTAACAAAATTCTGGTTGGTCTTGCTTTTGTTTTGCAGAAGGATGTAAAGAAACTGTTGGGGGTTGCATGAGCAACCAGCTCTTTATGAATAAATGAGAAGCTGTAATAAGAATAAAGCCGTCTGTAATAAAAATATGTATCTCTTTGTATTGTTGGACTTGTTTTAAGGATACTTTACGAATGTTTCAGTGAAGCAGTAATTTCAAATACACAGATAGTACCTGCATGCAAATTTGTGTTCTGAATATAATGGTGTATTTTGGAAGAGAGAAGAAAGCATGTACATTTCAAATGATTTATTGGATATGAACGTTTAAATCTCTCCGATCCAAATTCATTTTAAATATTTGATATTGAGAGAAATTCGGATTGAGGAGTAGAAGAGGGTAGCTGGAATGAGAGGAAGAGATTTGACATATTGTTGGGCTGAATATCAAAATCCCAATTTGACAGGTGGAACACTTTCAGTTCTTATTATATTCAAAACGAAAGCTTTCTGGAATACCAAGTGGAAAAGAAGCACATGTAAAAAGCCTCTTAGTAAAGAGGGAACAAAAAGCAAAATCAAAGTGCCTTTCCAAGGGGTACAAGGCTTACATACAAATGGTCAAGAATTTGTTTAATGTGTTTCAATGTATATTCTATCAACAAAATTATATATATATGGTATCGTTCATCTCAATAAAAAAAGTCCTAACAAAAAAATATATATAAAAAAATACATGTTAAAGGGAGAGAGTGACAGATTTTTCATCACAAGGAAACATCCACCAGAAAAAGAAAAAAAAACGTCATTGCTATTGTTCATGTCATAGTGGTATTGGGCATTTTGCTGCTCAACAATTGAACAAGTCTGAGCCCAAGGCTGAAGAGTGCAGCCCAAAGTTCAAACAAAGGGTCGAGGTGAAAATGAGGGGGCCTAAACGCCATTAAAGCACAGTTGAACATGAAAGCCAATTTGATTGGGAGCTTAGGAAGTCAAAGAGGCATATAGGGTTTGTCCATTGCTGAGCTAGTTCTTCTTCTACTTGAGAGTTTCATAGCAGACAGTTATAATAGGATGACAAGCCAGCTAACAGAGAACCCAAAAACAATTTATGACTTCACTGTCAAGGTAAGCCTGTCCATCTTCAACTAGTTTATGCTTTTTTGCTGCATCTTTTCAAGGTGGTTCTGTACATGTTCTTCGAACTGTAAATAATTTATTAGTAGATGGGTAGTTTTGGAATGATGCGATTGTGTTGAAAGTATTCATTTTTCTAGCAATATTAATCCCATAAAAGAATTATGAATGCTCGGTAGTCGTTCTTGGCATGTTTTGAGAATTTTCCTTGGTCTGGTTGGTTGCCAAGAAAAAAAGAAAGGAAATTTCCGGTGATGTTAATGGGGTTATATGTGGAAACTCAGTTGATAAGTAAATGGTCTTTGTATCTTGATTTTGTTGCTAGTGTGATAGTTTTAAAATTTGTATATTAGTGCAGGATGCTAAGGGAAATGATGTGGATCTTAGTGTGTACAAGGGAAAGGTTCTACTGATTATCAATGTTGCTTCAAAATGGTATTTTCTCAGATTCTTCGTTTCTCACATTTATTTTTTCTTTAAAAATAAAAACTAGTTATTCATTGATGTTTTTCACTGATTTGGCAGTGGACTGACCAACTCAAATTACACGGAGCTGAATCAACTATATCAGCAATATAAAGATCAAGGTTTGCATTTTGAACTAATATTGTACTTTCATGCCTGCCATTTTGACAATCATTAGAGAAATGATTGTAATATGGTAACGAGGTTTAGGAAAATCATGCTTGAGCTGACATCTAACAAATTTGTGTTCTTACATGTCGATTCTGCTTCTTTCTTCCTTTCCAACTTCCTCTCTAGCTAGAATGCTTGTTTCATTTTTGTTTCTTATTTATTTAATTGACTGTTTTGCATATGTTACAGTCTAGTTTTATCAGAACAACATGTAGCCCCTGAATGTCTAGTTCGAAAATCCTGTTTTCAACATAAATGTACTATAACTAGTTCAAAACTTCACTGAAATTCTACTTTTTTTCATCACTTTTTTCCCCTTTGTACAATATACTTTGCGCGTTGATGCAGGCTTGGAGGTAGTAGCATTTCCATGCAACCAGTTCGGTGATGAGGAACCTGGAAGTAATGAGGAGATTGAAGAGTTTGTCTGCACTCGTTTCAAATCAGAATTTCCAATATTTGACAAGGTAGATCTAGGAACAATAGATGATTGTTATATCTGCTTTCCAACAGCTTACACAGACTACACTTTTAGGCCAGACAAAAGGTTTTTTGACCACATGCTCATCTATAGGCTTTGTCTAATGACAGAGAAGTGCATTTCCATCTTTGTGCATGCCAACAAACTTAGTTTAGTCAGTCATACTGGTTGAGGATCTTCACATTTACAAGTCTTAGTTGCAATATTTCAAATGTGGATGTATTTAGGCTAGCCAGTAACTAATTTTACTGAATGAACACTTACTTCAAATCCTTTATAACTTTTGCAAGTTAGAAATTTGACATGTGTTGTTCCTGTGGCCATTTCAACGCCGTCTGAGAGCTTGGATGGTATTTCACTGTCTTTTTTCTTGTGTTAGATTGAAGTAAACGGCGATAATGCTGCTCCATTGTACAAGTTCTTGAAGTTAGGCAAATGGGGATTCTTTGGAGATGATATTCAATGGAACTTTACCAAGTTTTTAGTTGACAGGGATGGGAAAGTTTCTGATCGCTATTACCCAACAACTTCCCCCCTTAGCCTTGAGGTAAATACCCAGTTGTCCAATTCTCGAATATCAATTCGGTTATGATGCCTCTGTTTATTGTGGTTGATAATCTCTAGATTTGTCAAGTGATCATACTGTTTTCTTACAGCGTGACATAAAGAAGCTGTTAGGGGTCTCATGAATGCTGAGATGTGAAGGCTTCAAGAGGGTCATAGTGTAAGCAGTGTGCATATGCTTGCCTTTTGTGTATCAGGATGGATGGGAAAAAATGCCTTGCTTTTGTGTGTTGTTGTGGCTTAAAGACTGATTTAAGGACCTAAGGCTGTATCTGTGTATATTGTATTGTATTTGCACAAACTGAAACAAAACCATTTGTTTTGTGTAATTGAATGTTGTCGAAATTCTTACCCTCCCAATTCCACTAAACCTTTTATGTGCAGTAGAGCCTAATGGCGCATCAACCAGCCAGCGTTCTTCAAAGACAAAGGTAGGCGAGCCATCATCCCCCACCATAAGGGACATAGAGGATGCAAGAGACAAAATTAAGGGCATGGATTTTTGAGCTGAATGTACTATAAAAATAAAATTTATTATTTTGGGTTTGGTTTAATCGGTTTTCAACGGCCTAAAACCAGCATCTAATCTAATTAAGTTGGATTTATGAAACCAGCGTGAAATCGAATCTAAAATCCAATTAAAAATGTTTGTATTGGATTGGATTTTGCACAACCCCTACTCTCTCTCTTTTTTTCCTCAACCTAGGCGGCAATGGTATGCATCCATCAGTATTCTTTCAAAGAAAAAGAAAACAATTTTGTAGAACTCCATGTGAGAATGCCACCTATGGAAAAAGAAACAAAAAGTCGAGCTATGTAGCATTATGTATTTTGAAAGTGACAATGGTTTCCGTAATTTTTCTGGTGCAACATGCTATGTGTGAGCCAAAAGCTCAAAAATAAACCTAAAAGGTGTGAAACGAGCCGTGTCGGGCTGGATTGGCCTATTTAGAGTCGAGCCATTTAATAAACAGATCATGTCAGGCTCGTTCATTTATGAAAATCACTCATTTCAGCTTGGACTGTGCTTGTGTCGGGCTACTAAACAAGGCGAGATGGGCACATGCCAAATTTGACTTATGTATTGCATTTTTTTATATAAAATTTTACAACTTGATTTAAATATTTTTAACAATTATGTGTATACAAACAAGATTTATTATTTGATGAAAAAAGAGACCAATAACTTTATTTAAAGTACATTTAAATAAATAATGACTAGATTATTGTTTGAATTTAAAAAATTGAAACTTCAAAAACAAAATTATTATTTTTTACATAAGGAAAACATTAAATTTTAATATATATTATTAGTGAAAAGAAATATACTTGAATTTAAGATATAAATGCAATAATATTGTGTAAAAATTTTCTCTAAAATAAATATAATTTAATAAATGGGATTTAAAGGGGGCGGCCCGTTTGGTTTCGAGCGGGCACAGCCCATTAGGCCTAATTACCTCGTTCGGTCCGTCCAAAGATACGCACTAACTAGCCATTAAGAAGTTTGGGCCAAGATTTTCTTGGATGAGATAAAGAGTTTGTTTGTTCGTAGATCAAGCCCAAGGAAGCGCGCCCGTCCTTGAGGGTAAAATAGTAATACGAAGAAACATAGGGGCAAAAACGTTAATAATCTGTACTTGGGTTGTGTACGGACCAACCTGATTGAAGCTCCCAAAGTCAAAAGCGTAATTCATACTTAAGTCTTGTCTCTGCTTCTGCTTTTCCTCAATCAGTTGTGGTAGCTTTGTTCTACTTGAGATATTAAGACCAGTGATTATAGGATGGCAAGCCAGCCAACTGAGATCCCAAAAACATTTTATGACTTCACTGTTAAGGTAAGAAAATCTCTCTTCAATTAGTTTATGGGTTTCTGCTATATGTTTTCTAGGTGGCTCTGTAAATTTTGAAGACATCTGATTGTTTTGAATATGTTCTTCTTTCTCTGGGAATTGAATTTGAATGTTGGGTATTTACTTTTCTGCATGTTATGAGAATTTTGCCTAGCTGTCTCTGGTTGATTGCCAAGAGAAAGAAAAAAAAACGACTTAAAGGATGAAGGACATGTTGGGAAAATAAGAGACTTTGATTTTTGTTGAACCTATGTTGGAGATTGAGTTGAGAAGTGTTCTTTGTATCTTGGTCTTATAGTTTTGAATTTGTGTAGGATGCTAAGGGAAATGATGTGGATCTTAGCGTCTACAAGGGAAAAGTTCTTCTGGTTATCAATGTTGCCTCCAAATGGTATCACTCCTCGTACTTTGGTTTTTATTTTATTTTATAAACAATCAACAAAAACAAAACCTATTTATTCGATTTTATTTTTCACTGATTTGTGGCAGTGGCCTGACCAATTCAAACTACACAGAGCTGAATGAACTATATCAAAAGTATAAAGATCAAGGTTTGCACTTCCAACTAATATTGTTCTCTCTTTGGAACAAGCTTATCTGCTGCTTCTTTCATTTTCATTTTCTTGTTAATGTATACACTCTTTTTTCCGCATGTCAAACTAGCTAATTTCATGTGACAAAAAAGAATTCCTGAGTTTGTATGTAATAGGGAAATCTTCTCCTCATCATAAATTTCATATAAGCAGTTTGAAAGTTCACTGAAATTATACTTTCCTGTTGTGCCTTTACTTTTTTTTCCCTTTGTATGATATACCGAGGGGGTCAATGCAGGCTTGGAGATTCTGGCATTTCCATGCAACCAGTTTGGTGCTCAGGAACCGGGAAGCAATGAAGAGATTGAAGATTTTGTCTGCACTCGTTTCAAATCAGAATTTCCCATATTTGACAAGGTCGATTCAGGAACAGTAGATTATGTTGTATCTATGTTCATGCCATCAAACTTAATTTAGTCACTCAAACTGGTGGAGCATTGAGGATCTCTGTGTTTACAAGTTTTAGTTTCGAGGATTTCGAGTTTGATGGATTTAGAAATTTGACGTGTGTTCTTCCCTATGGCCGTGTCAACTGCATAATGTGAGATGTTTGGAAATTTACCTTCTTTTGTTCTTGTGTTAGATTGAAGTGAACGGTGATAATACTGCTCCAGTGTACAAGTTCTTGAAGGCAGGCAAATGGGGATTCTTTGGAGATAATATTCAGTGGAACTTTACCAAGTTTCTAGTTGATAAGGACGGGAAAGTTTCCGACCGCTATTATCCAACCACTCCCCCCCTTAGCATTGAGGTAACAACCCTGATGTCTGCAATCTGGAATTTTGATTATGCTATGCTGCCTCTGTTGCTTATTGTAGTTGATCATCGATTCATTGGTAGATTTGTGAAGTTTGCTAACCTTTTGACATTATACGATTTTCGCAGCATGACATAAAGAAGCTGTTGGGAGTCTCTTGAATGCTGAGATGAGATGTGAAGACTGCAACATATGCTTGCCTTTTGTGTATCAGGCGGGAGAAAAAGTTCAAGCTTGCTTTTGTACGTTTGTTATATTATTAGTGTGGCTTCAACACTTGATAAGGGTGTTCCTTTGTTAAAACTAATGTCTGGATTTCAAGACTTTTTAAGGTTGTACGTACATTTATATTTTATGTGTGGTGCTAAAACATGAAGCAATTGCAGTCCCCGCCTGTTCCACAATGACCTCCTGTGATACAAAAATATCTTAGCTGTTTCAAATATCGGAAAACATGGTCTGGTTAGTTGGTCATTTGCTAGCACATATTGTGATGTGGTAGAATAATGTAGTCACGTGATGGGAGAGACATAATGTAAGACTTACGAAATTTTCTCTTAAAAAGTTTCCGTAATCATTACGTGTGATAGTTTTTCTCATGCTCCGTTTGGATGAAGGAATTGCAAATTACGTGTGATACTTTAGGCATGGTCCTCTTGTTATTCAATGGTTGTAGAAACTAAGCAAAGAATAAACAATAAAGGTGGTTGCTGGGAGCCCTACACCAGGTCATTAAGAAAACATGTCCAAAACCAGAACAAACCAAAACTTTGCTTCAGGTTACATTTACTTACGACACCATCAAAGATATGTCCCATGGAAAGAGCCTAGAGAAGGCATGTCTCTCATCTGCCCTACACAAATTTGCAGTTAATTTGGATTTCATTAGGGCAATACTGAAATTTGGGCACAATTAGAAAGAAGAAAGAAGAAGAATAGATATTTGGCGGAGAGAAAGAAGAAGAAGAAAGAAAGAGAGAAGGGAAGGAAATTTTAAATTAAAAAAATATTTAATTTTGGATTGATTTGACGATTATATCTAGGGGTGACATTTTAAACCGAAAAACCGCAAAAACCAACCAACAATTTACCGCAATGAAACCGTAATCGTGGTAAACCGAACCGCATTTGCGGTATTAAGAATCGAACTGCATTTGCGGTTGCGGTTGCGGTATTTGATTTTCAAAACTTGCGGTTACCACAAACCGCAAAGTATAACCGCACGGATGATGAGGTTGAATTCTACAAGAAAATGGAACATATGACAATTTGTAAGTAATTAGTTTATTTATGCTAATGTTATTTATGCTTCTTCTTATAATAAATTTACTAAACTATGTTGTTTTATTTATAGATAACATTGGTGCTCAAACAACACAACGGGGTTTTTCAAATCTACTCACCACCAACCCTTGAGTTTGTAACTTTAGTTTGTAACATTGGTGCATTGCATTTTCCTTTTAGTTTGTAACTTTAATCAACTTTGAATTGGATTTTTCTTTTTGGTTGTAACTTTAATTCATTTTGCTTTGCATTTTCCTTTTGGTTTGTAACTTTAAAGGATTTGGAATTGGAATGCTTGAGAAGTTTAACTTTAATTGGAATGCTTGGAATTGTAACTTTAATTTTCTTAGGTTGTGAATGCTTGAGAAGTTGAGGAGATTGTGAATTTATATATGCTTGAGAAATTGAGGTTGTATATTTATTTATTTAGGTTGTGAATTTATATTTTTGTGAATTCTTGAGAACTTGCGGTTTTAAACCGCTAATTTGCGGTAACCGACCGCCTTTTGCGGTTCGGTAAACCGCAAAACGCGGTCGGTTTACGGTTTCAAAAATTACCAAATCGCAAATAGTCGGTCAGTTTGCGGTTTGAGTACAAATTCGCGGTTACTGAACCGCAACCACCCCTAATTATATCCTTAGATTTAACAGTTTTTTTCACAGAAGAACTATTTAAGAGCACCCATATTAATGTTAGAGGTGATACAAAAAGACTTTAAGGATGCAATCTGATAGTTTCGTAAATGTCAAGGATGTTTTGTGATAAAAAGGCCCCAAAAAAATAGAAAAAAAAACTCAATGGCATGTTAGTTGGATTGGCCCAAAAGTTTAGTATGCTAGTCCTGAGTTCAAACCCCGCGTGTGTTAGTTCCCTTTCCCCACTTTTGCAAACACAAAACAAAACAAAAAAAGAAAAAAAAAAAAAAAAAAAAACATGATTGTACTTGATCTGGCCAAAAACTTTTGCATGCAAAACTGAACCACTTCTACCGTCCAAAAACAAAAATGGCGGAACAACCATCGTCGTTGCACCTCCAGCGTCAAAAAAAGGGAACTACCCTACCCTCATTTCATCTCCATTTGTTGCCCTAAAGAGAGTTGATTTCCTAGAAAGCATCACTCAATTCGAGTTCTTGCGATTGTTGCTCATTTTGTGTTTGATATCTTTCCAACAAGAGCCCCTTCGGTTAATTATATTTCCTATGGGAAATGTGTTTTCTGGTTGCTTTAGCCAAATGCACAAAGGTAAGATCAAGCTTCTTCTTTTCTTGTTTCCCCTGATTTGTTTTTGTACAAAACCAACCCAAGTGCTGGTTTTACATTTTGCTTCCAATGTAGGCCCTTCTGGCCCTTCTCTCACATTTTTATTTTGGGTCAGAAAATTTCTGCATCATGCACCTGGATTTTCATTTTTCCCAATGTGATAGTTATGCATTTTCTGAGTTCTGTAGGGTTATGCACAAGAGTGAACAAGAAATTAAGTTTAGAGCAAGAAGTCTATAGCATTTTTTGAAATTGTAGAAAGAACACATGTAACCTTCTTGAGTGGCAAATGCTACAGTCACATAAAATAAGGATGTGAAAGAAAAGGCATTGTTGCTTAATGCTTCTCTCTGCCACCCACTTTCCTCATAGTTGTGTCTTGTCTGTTCCATTTGCTACTTTTGTCACTTGTGCTAGCTCTTCTACTTCAGACTTGGGACCAGTTTATCGGATGCCAAGCCAAGCCGATGAGTTCCCAAGTACAAAAATTTACGAATTTACTGTCAAGGTAAGGTTCTCTTCAATTAGTTTATGCATTTCTGCTCTATTTTCTAGCTGGGTCTGAAGACTGTAAATGTTATTCAACATGTAATATAATTGGTAGGTGGCTAGTTTTGAAGATATGTGATAATGTTGTTGAATATGTTCTTCCTTTCTGGAATCAATAATCCATGAGTGAAGTTTGAATATTGGTTGGAATGTTTAAGACCTTTTTGGAATCAATAAAAAACGCATAATTGAAAGAAAGGGAGAAGGAAATATTCAGACGATGATAATGGGAACATATGTGGCTGGTTCCTTGGTTCAGAATGAAACGATGTTGTTTTTGTTGAATCTATGTTGGAACTTTGAAATTCAGTTTAGAAGTAGACTAGTAGTATTCTTTATATCGGGATTTTGTAGTTCGTCGGATGGTTGTAAATTCGTTTGTTAGTGCAGGATGCCAAGGGAAAGGATGTGGATCTTAGCGTGTACAGAGGAAAAGTTCTGCTGATTGTCAATGTTGCTTCTGAATGGTATCCTCATATTTTTTGCTTCTCACATTTATTATTATTCTCTTCTTTTGAAAAAAAAAAAGAAAAAAAAAAGAGAGAAACAAAAACCTATTTATTCATTGTTGTTTTTCACTGATTTCGAGCAGTGGATTGACCGACGAAAATTACCCTGAGCTAACTAAACTATATCAGCAGTATAAAGATCAAGGTTTGCATTTTGAGCTAATATTGTTCTTTCATGCTTACCATTTTGAAAACCATTAGAAATGTAACTGTAGCATGGTGACCATGTCCCTAGGGAATTTATTCTTGACTGAACATCGATGTAATTTGTTTTCTTAAATGTGGATTACACTTTCTTCCCTTCTGACTACCTCTGTGTCTGGAACATGCTTATCTGCTACTTGTTTCATGTTTTTTTCTTTATAAATTTATACTGTTTTGCATATACCGTATTTTTTTTTTTTTTTTTTTTTTTTTTTTTTTGTTTGGAAAAATAAGAATTCCCTCTGCTCGCCATACGAAAATCTTTTTTTCATAGTTCAAAAGTTTGCTGAAGTTCTAATTTCTCCTTTATTCTTCCCCTTTGTATGATAAACAGGCTTGGAAATTCTGGCATTTCCGTGCAACCAGTTTGCTGCTCAAGAACCAGGAAGTAATCAACAAATTGAAGAGTTTGTCTGCACTCGTTTTAAATCAGGATTCCAAATTTTTGACAAGGTACTATATTATGTTGTATCTGCCTTCCAACAGCTCATACCTATGACGTTTAGGCAAGACAGCAGATTTTTCAGCTACATGCTCATATCTTGTCTGTTTAAAACAATGCAGAAGTGCATTGCTAACTATCCTGAATCTTCCAAAAGGAAAAAAGATAAATTTTTCCGTTTTCATGCATGAAATAATATTTATATACTTGAAGTTTGCATCCCAACAAACTTAATTGAGTCATTCAGATTGGTTGAGGATCTCTGTGTTCACAAGTTTTAGTTTCAAGAATTTCAAATATGATATGTTTAGGCTTGTCAAATCAACTACTTTAATAGTTGTAGTAAATTAGTGGTTATAAATTATACTTCCTATAGAACTTCTGCAAGTTAGAAATTTTAGATGTGTTCTCTCCTGTAGCCATTTGAACTAAATCGGAGAGCTTGGATGGTATTGTAATAAGGTGAGATGTTCGTAAATTCACCATTTTTGTTCTTTGGTTAGATTGAAGTAAACGGTGATAATGCTGCTCCATTGTACAAGTTCTTGAGGTTAGGCAAATGGGGATTCTTTGATGATGATATTCAGTGGAACTTTGCCAAATTTCTTGTTGACAAGGAAGGGAAAGTTGTTAATCGTTATTACCCAACAACTTTACCCTTTAGCCTTGAGGTAAAAACCCAGATGTCTGATTCTTACAGATAATTATGTTATGCTGCCTCGGTTGTTTACTTCAGTTGATCATCAGTAAGTTTTCTCAAGTAATAATAGCGTTCTGATATTATACCATCTTTGCAGCATGACATAAAGAAGCTGTTGGCGGAGTCTCATGAATGCTGAGATGTGAAGGCTTCAACAGACAATGACCTGTGATACAATCTCACTAGTTTATCTAGTTGTTTCAAATCTGGTAAAACCTAGTCTGTTAATAGGCTATTTGCGAAGATATATTGCAGATTCATGTCCCAGGTTCCCAATAATAACATTAGAAGTTAAAGATGTTTATCTCAGTCACATATTTGACCATATATCTTTCAGCTTTTGATTTTCCTTTTTTCTTCTAGTTGTATAGGTTAAAGCTTTTACATCCAAAATTTCCAAGTAAAACTGCCCGTCGTAGACAGTTCAGATGTTTTGTTTTTGGTACTGTTGGTGTGTCCTTGGACCGGTAGGCCGGTAGCTATTGCCACATTTAGAAGGAAGCTAGTCACGCCACCATCCCCGAGCAGACAGCTTTTCCACCCATTTGGAGAGGGTTGGTTTGCTCACTTGGATTGCACCAAGTAATTACAATTGGTTTTCTTCATCATCGAAGAGAACATTAAACGTTTTAACATCAACACAGACCCCTGTGATCGCCAATTCTTCCCTTGGAAGGTCGTAGTTTCAACAAAATGGGAAACCTCCTAATTGTTCCGAATATGGTAGAGCTTGGAACCACAAATCAACGACATTACTAGCGCCTTGAAAATATGGTTCATAGCTACGTAGCAAAAGACCAGTTGCTCAATAAACCTCATTCTTCCATACATATGCAGCATATAATTCTGCAAATTGTGATTCAGAATTGGTTACAACTACAAAAGGACTTTGATTTGATAGAAAGTTCCAACCAAAAGCCAAAAGAATTTCTTGCTACAGATGAGTATCTTAACCCTCCACACTACTTGAAACTTCCTCAATTATGTTACCGAAATAACCCCCAGAATTACGGCTTTGTTACAGATTATGTTAGCACAAACTTGTTTACCCACCAGTGGGTGAACAAGAGTAGTAAAGTTACAATTCTCACAGATTCGGTTCATTTACAACAACACATATATACAAAATTGGCATGTGTTTGTTGCAGCATATCTTCACCCGCGAGTCAAGTCGATGCCAGTGTGCGGATTTCTCAAATCAACTTGCCGCGAACCTGGCCAAATGCCTGCTCCGGAAGGATTATAATTTTGAGCAGGCGGGGTGTTAGATGGTAGAGCCAATTTCTCATTATGCTGAGGCTCAGAATTCTCGTCGCTATTGGGACCAGCCACTTGCTTGTTCTTGGTCTTGGAGCCACCATAGACAAAACTACAAAGCACAACCTGCAACAAAAATGAATTAGACCTCTGTGCTGCCATCTTCAAAGTGCAATATCCACATTTCTAGACTATAATCAGAATCTGATAAAAAGACGCCTGTAAGATCATCCCATGCTAGACAAGTGTGTTTCAATCACACAATCTTCCAACAAAAGATAGCCATCTTCAAAGTGCATATATGCACAGATATTGCATATCACAACCTATGTACACGTGCAAACTACCACTCTTGCAAAGATGTGCAGGAAATATGGCATTAGCACTACTAGGAATGTTTCTGAGAAGTAAAGAAATTACCTGCACTGGCGTTGCGGCAATAAGCATTGCCACAGCACCACCAATGACATGACCATCGGGACTAGAAAGGGAAACACTTATACCCCCTGTTCGATTGCGTGGTCCGCCATCCTCAGCAACCAAGTACGACCCTGACAAGCATAATATCTGGAAACGACCCTGCACAGCCATATAAACAATTGAGTAAAAAAGAGTGAAGCTAATTCTACAAAAATTGGACTAGGAAAAGTCAGTGCATTTTTTAGAGCAAGGCCATTCATGATATCAGTATTGACTACTATGATAGCAACTTTAGGCCAATATGTCATAAATACTATATTTAATAAAGCAAGAACGCATTCCTAGAAAAGAAAAATAAATGTTTTGAGCTGTTTCAGAAAGGTCAAAAGAAAGAGAATAAAAATATGTTGCAGCTCTTGGAGAAAAGGACTAAAGTAGACATTTGAAGCTATTTAAACCTGGATAGTATCTGAACTAATTACTGTCAATCAAAGTTTGTTCAACCTTCCTCTGACAGATAAACCAACCTTAAATCTACTCATGCAATCTTAATGGCATTAGTCACACCAGTTTTTATTATATTAGGTTCGGTCACTTAGAAGGATTGGCTACAGATCTTAACTACAGACCTGCCTAACCCAAAGGTAGATGAAGTCTCACAATCACCATAAACATGCCATGTTCTAACATTCCAATTATCTGATCAACTCACAATGACTTGCAGCAGCTATAGCATCACCCATTAAACCATCAAACACCCACATTCAATTATCTCTATTTTTTGCACTAAAACCCCACCATAACTAGAAACCGAATCGAATCTATGACAGTAGCACTTCATTTTTTGGCAACTCTACTGATTTAAGCTAATCAAGAACTGTCCAACCAATAATTTGTTTTAGTCACTTGACCACGTTCTCCTTAAAACAAAAATTAAACTACCTGAATACCAGCGCAGACAAACACCCATATATTCCCTGCAGTATTAGCAATCCAGCTATTGCCAGACCAAACTGCGCTCAAACCTTACAACTTTCAACAATTATCAGCACCACCACCTTATTTTGAAACTTCATACTTTGGACAACATATCCATACGTTCTGCCTCAACCTCTTTCCCAGATCTTGATTAAGATATTCTCTTAGCTCTAGTTCTAATTCGTATAAACCAACACTACAATGGTATTCTCATATTACACTGCTCAAACACCTACAATTCCCGAGACCATTTTTTAACAATCCTAGCAACATCTAACCCAAGCATGCAAGTATTACCTTCCCTGACTCAGATTTAAATCCCATTCCCCGACTCAAGTAGCAGACATACAATTTTATATCCAAACTAAGAATCTCCTCCAAATCATAAATATCACACCATAGCTTTAAAACCCAAACCTTAAACTCTTTCTCTTCCCTACCATCTTCCATACGTAGATAGATTCCCTGCCTCCTAGCCCTTCATTTGTCTCCTTTTCATTCTATTCCTTTGATTAGTTCTGATTCTACTGGTATCCCAAAGGCCTTACTAGCACTTTGTATGCCATTGCTCTTCTGGCCCATATTTTTTTATTAAGTAGCTAATTACTGCACTAGTTTCTCATCAGCTATTTTTGAAACTAAACAAAGTGTTCAAGTTATTAAAGAACAACAAAATTTGAAATGTAACTATAACCAACTACAAACTTGCACATCCACCCTGGACAGCTCTTTGCAATCATAAAAGTTACAACATTACATAAACTGAACTACAGTTGCAACTTACGGTATTTGCAAGAAATATTTTAAACAGAAAGAAGGAAATCTGCAGCTCTGTATCCTAAATTTGAAATGGAAATTCTCACTAACTTTAATAAGACCAACATAGAAGGAAAGCCATCTAAAACGGAAGTCATTTGTATGCACCAACACGAGCAAAAATAAATACAGAATTGAGTGCTTCAACCTCAAACGTGACACTGACACCAGTAGATGCAGGCTGACGTAGAGTTACTGAAGATGCTGTACCACTTCCTGACAAAATGCATAGCGCCCTTGGTCTCTGTTGTGAAAACAACAATAATTTTGCTGCAATGTCCTACAAAGGCAAAATAACAAAGTATATTAATCATCGAAAATTAAGTTCAAGCCTTTCAAAATAAAGGCTTCCACCTAGACCCAGACTCAACTGACACGTGTAATCATGCTTTTAGAGTAGGATGATATGCGTGTGCCCCTTTGCAATTGTATGTATGTGTAGTTTGTGGAATCCTAGTGATATGGTCAGTCCATTGATATGTGCTTGTAACAATCCCCATATTTACAAACTTAACATGTTGAAAAACTCAAATTACATCTATCAAGCTTTACCGTAGAAACGGGTAAAGCATTATACAAAACTTTAATAGCAGCATTCTTATTACCATGTGTTCATGATCCAGAAGACTCCAGTACAATTGATGCAAAAATTATTTGGATCAAGCTTCTAGTTAGTTATCTGAAGCAAGCATAATAGGCCTGGTAAAGCATGATTTTTTTCCGATTTTGGTATCAATCTGCTTTCCTTTCCTTATGCATGAGAAAGACAATTTCAGTACTTACGCAAATCTAATGCAGCTTTAAAGCCGTAATTAAGCAAACAATAAACACTGACAATCTCTATGTGTTAATAGAAGGCATTGCCAAACCAATAAATTGGAGCAACTGATCGCAGAGGACAAAATTCTTCTGCATCATATTTTAGGTATCTCAGTCATTTGAATGTATATAGCATACCTCTCCAGCTCCAATGGTGATAACATGGGGTGCAAAAGCCAGTCCAGCTGAAGTATTCATCCAGTCCCCTATAATAACAGTTTAACATTTCCAAGAAATAGTAAAAATTCATAGATCTCAAAGTACATGCAAAAACAGATGGTGATAATTACTTAATTACAGATGACATACTTCAGCTGATTCAGATGGGAAAACCTCAACTGGAAAAATACAAACATCTGAGCAATAACTATCATAATAATAAATCACATATATAAAACAAATCAGACACTAGAAGCCATAACTTTTTCTTCTGCATGCACCTCATTTTCACAACTCCGGTGCATATTTTGTAGATGCTTTTGCTAGTTAAGTTGTGGTAGTTAGTTAGTGGGCACCTAAAGGACATTACTCATAATTAAAAAAGGAAGGAAGCTTAGGAACATTAGCAGAATTGGCATGAATTGAACACCATTTATAGAAATCAAGAGAAACACTACTAAAGGCTAACTATAATGAGCCACTATATGCTAGCCAACTAAATTTAGAAAAGTAATAAAATTAGAATCATAAAATAAAGTTCAAGGCATAAAATAAAATAAAAAGGTTGTAGAAGTTGCACAGAGATTTACCAAGAGTAGCTAACTGTTGTTTCCTACCACTCCCAGGTGGCCGCCCTCTACTACGTTTTGGAGTGGGGCTGGTTGAACCTGGTCTAGGATTTGGTGTTGCAGACATGGGAGACAATCCCAGAGAAACCGGCCCATCAGGACCATACTTCCTGGGCCTCCCTCTTTTCTTCTTTACAGGCTCACCTGAAGGCACTCCAGGAGTGACATTCATGCTAATGCCATGATGAGGAAAATTGGGTCTTGAAGGCTCTACTGAGAATGTTGATCCTACAGAGCTGACCCTCACATTAGATTGAGGTTGAAGGACAGTGTTTGACATGTGCCTGAACCCAGGTGGAGTATGCAGTCCACCACCAGCCTGTGATCCAGGCATAGACCCACCAACCCCTCCCCTATGGATGTAGTATTGAGCTGAGCCACCAGACAATCCCATGGCTTCTCTCCCATCCATGCATTTACTGAGAGACTTGTCACTAGAAAGCTTAAGTTTTTGTCACCTAAAGATTGTGTCTTGAAACCCGTTGGTCAATTATGCTAAGGATAGTTAAAAAAAATCACCCCACCACTAGGAGATTTAACGGAAAATGGAAATTTCAAAACAAAGGGTTCACGGAGGTTATTATTCAAATGGGAAAATTTTCATAGCATTTTTTGTCAAAACCAAAAGAAGAGGGGAAGAAATCCCCTTCAGCCCTAAATCTTCAAAATACAGGAACGCAGTGAGCTTGTAAAACAAGGATTTTACAAGGGTTTTATTTTAAGTTTCAAAAAAAATCTAAAAACCCAGCAAAGTTTTGATCTTCAACCGGAAAAACAAGAAAGTGCGTGATGCCAAAGCTTGAACAGAACCACCCTCACAAACCCATAACAGAGAATACCTAGGAAAAACCAAAATGTAGAAAAATCGGGAGCTCGGGTAGCTACAGAAAAGCAAGAAAAATGACCTGGCAGCTCTTGAAGCACTGCCTCAAACACAGTAGTGAGAACAAAACCCTAGATTTGAAATCTAGGGTTTTGACAGGAAAATGCAGGAGGTGAAAGGGAAAAAAGAGGGAGGAAAAGACAAAGAAAGGGAAGGGGGGTTGGGGAGGAAAATGAATTGAAAATTTGAGCTTTTGAATTAAAGGTGTGAGTGTATAAGTGTCTTTTGTGTGTGTGTGTATGTGTGTGTGAACTGTGAACTGTGAACTGTGACCTACTCAAAGACCTTTTCCCTTTTTTCTTTATTCTAAAATGTAGTGAGTGAGTGAAGGGGTGGGGTGTGGTGGGGTGTAAGTATCTCTGATTATATGAAAGGAAAGACTAATGGTATTGGACGACAGTGTGGGCCTGCCGAAGTACCAACCTACATGTCCTTATCAGATTGCCCTTTCTTAGGCCACAGGGCCTTCCGAGAAAAACTTAGCTGCAACCGAATAATATTATTCGACTAATAATGTTATGTCATGTAAAAGTATTATTATACGTGTCATAGTGTTATTGGACGAGAATAACAAAATAGTATTATTCCGGTTCCATAAAAGTTTTTCTCCTTCAGAGCCAATGGCCCCACATCTCTCTCTCATTCACACTCTCCCTGTCCTCTTTCTCTCTCTCTTTAATGACCCCTTGGCCTGGTACCTCTGCTGGTTTGGGTTACAGATCGCTAATCTATGTAAACAGAGCTAGGACCCAAAAGCTATTTTATTTTAACTTTTGTTCTTCTTCTGTTTTCTTTTTGGTGAGAGAGAGTTGGAATTTGGTCATGGGCCAGTCTAAAATGGACAAACTAATCCGAAAAGATTATTATTAATATCATTTTGAAGAAACAACAAGAATGTTGAATCAATTTTACTGTTAATAACTATATTAAATGAAGTTTCTTTTGTCTGAATTTTGGAAAAAGATGGGATTTGAAGTTACGATAAAACAATGGCTGGAGATGGGGGGAAAAGGGCATGTGGGGGTGGTGCGTGTATTCAAAGGTAGGAAACGATGTCGTTTTCTTCTAAAATGATTTGCCTTGGTGGGTGAAATGAGCTGCCTGCTCTCAGTCTTTTTTGTGCTTATTAACGACTTTGAGACAAATGGGCATTATTGAGTCACGTAGTTGAAAACAAATCAAATGAGTGATTAGCGTGGTCAATAAAGAGTTGATTGTTGAATTATTGGCCTACAATCAAAAAGAAAAGAAAAGAAGAAAATGTTTTCAAACTAGGACTAGGAGTAGGAACAAAAACCTGGCCCACCTTTTGATTACACTTACCAACATGTTGAATTGTTCATATTGTATTTTCAATTATCTTATTACCAAAAATGTGATTTCAATTCATGGGATTGCGATTTAATTTCATTTATAAAGTTTCCACACTTTCTTTCTCTTCTACTTCTTTTGCTTCTATTAGGGGTGATCACGATTCGATTCGGTCCAACGCTACCTCTAGATCGCCAACCGAATCAGAGCCACGTTAACAGTTCGAGTCTTACATGAAAAAATGGCAACAACCAGAACAACAACAATGAGCTTGAAGCCCAATATGGCTTTAAGAGAAGGGCTTGAAACTGGATAATGAGACTATGAATGTACGTGGGGAATATATTGTCCCTTGAAATAAAGCATGTGTGTTTCCACAATTTGTTCCTCCAAAGTTGAAGAAGAAGATAAAAAAAGTTAAGCACACAGGTGCACATAAATTCATGTTCAATTCACAAAGAAACGATCCACACATCAAATGCTGGTCTCCTACAAAGTCACAGAGATTTTAATTGTGAGGTATGAGAAAAACCTAAAATGTAAAATACAAGATCTGGTACACCAATGTACACAATTCAGGTTCCTTTGTATTCATTAACAGAAAGTGTTGTAAATACAAAGTCCGGAATGACAAAACTGGTGTCGTCGCCCAAGACCGCCATTATCTTCACCAAATAATTCATTCACAAGAAGTTTGATCAGAGCTTCAAATGTTCAGTTAAGACCTGAGTTTGCTTTCCTGCAAGACTGGTGATTTTAGGACCTCACAAATTCAATTTTTTTCAGTGCAGTCACAGTAAAATCACTGTCATGAACAAGTAAGAAAGTTTACCAAAGTCCTAAGCGGTTACAGACTTCTGCTTCCTATTAACATAATCCAGGTACCCCTGACAAATGAGAAAACATAAATTAATGCCAGCGTCCCAGACTTAGAAAACTGATTGAGAATAGTAAATAATTTCTTAAACGTTCTTCAGTATTGTCTACTGAAACAACCAAAAACACATCATTTTTATCATTTTTATCTAGCATGACCTAGAGCATATTATTGAACGCTATGTAACACACAAAAAATATACACCATTACCTGGAGTATACCAACAGCAGCAAACTTGTCAATAATTGTCTTGGACGTAACTGGATGCAAATTCAAAGGCCTTAAGAGTAATTCCACATTCTGTGTGCAGTAAAATAAAATTTAAGATTCAAGATCACTGACAAAATAATGGAAACATATGTGCAAGTCGTAATAATAGCCTACACACTAGCTTTGCCAGTTCTATTTGATGTATTCTAACTCTTGAGTGTAAACTGGCTTTCTCCTGGCACTCAAAGTAAAAGCAAGAACTTTAACATTTGAAACAGAAAAATTACAAAACTTAATAGATACCAATAAACCTTAGACACATCCAAGTTAGTTGAAGGTCCATACTGATGAACTAATAACATCAGCATGTGATTACATCTTCTGCTACACATATGTCAGAATCATCATATTACCAGACTCGATAATTTTCCAAGCCTATCTGCACTAACCTTTGATGTAAAGCCCTCATCCCAATACGTATATTTTAAGCCTTCAAGTTTTCTTGTCGCAGAGAGGTCATCAATGAAAAGATTCACTTGGACAGCCTAAACAAAGAAGAGCAAATCATTATCAAAAAGAAGATGAGAGTCCATATAGACAACTCAGGTTAAGATACGCACATCAGGACTGCGTCTCTGTCTGTCGAAAGGGTATCCAACAATGAAGCCCTCCAGAGAAAGTTCAGAGATCTGCACATAAAAACAAAGCAATTATGACTCTGACTCGGAAATGAAGGATCAAAATGTAGAAAACAGTTTACATCATTGAGGTACTATCATGTATGATTTGAAATGTATACAGGCTCGGTGCTATGCCGCTTGTAATCTAATAATTGAACACTTGGGTAGGCCGGGAGAATCACAACTCTAAGAACCAATCATGAAAAAAGAAGAAATACATATCGACAGTTTTTATGCTGCAACGATGCAGAGGAAATTTCCTAGACTTCGCTCTGAAAATAACTTCAATAATTTTGAAAATGCATTATAATATGATGATGTCCTCAGTCATATATGGCAAGACCCAGACAGAGGAAAGCAACGGAAGGCATTCGGCCAATTGGCCTTAGGAATGAGGAAGTATGGGGGATAATGCCATGGCTGAAATATATAGGTGTCTTTGACAAAATCAAAAGCCTTTTAACACCCAGTATGAGCCGTATCATAACCAAGACCACATTGCCAGATGCAAAATCAAATAAACAAATGGTCATGATTATGAGAAGCAGTTGCCACTGTGTTACTTCAATTGTCAAACCCTCACAATCAATATTCAATTTCAATCCGTGAATTAATATTGAATCCCCAGAAGAAGAAAAAAGAAATAGTTGTTTCTTTTAAGCTTAACCCAATAATTGTTTTAGGCACCTTCAAAGAACATTGCTAAAATAAATATTAAAAAAACAAAACTTCAGAAAATGAACAAGAAACTCACCAAACTCTGAAAATCATCGGCCATCATATCAAGTGTAGATTTCTTCCGAAGCAGAACGCTGCGGAGCATCGAATATTAACACACTCAATTTTAGTTCCGAATCATAATTTGAAGACTGAGCATGTAAAAGAAGAATTCAATTGAATACCTTAAAGGTGAAGCAATCTTGTTATGAATGTCTGATACAGCTACGCCGACGTACTTGTCGCCGACGTCCAAACCAAGCAAACGCCCACGTTCGAGAGCATTGCCCCTAACCAAGTCTTGGAACAAGCTCAAAGGCTTTACGTACCTCATCTAATCGTATGCGGCTTCGTCAAAATATGATATTTCATTGAAGCATTTCGTCGAACAGTTGGTTGGTCGACTGATTAAGTGGCAGCCTCCGCTCTCTGTGACGGTAACTCACAGACTCGTCAAAAAGAGAAGACAAAATGGGTATGAGTCGGACCGGAACCGAAAGAGAGATTGGGCCGTGAGGCTGAACTTATAATCTGTCTCCTAGCCCAACCCATCAACAAAGTAGCAAATTTTTATACAAATTTATAAATAAACCCAATCCTAGACATGTATTTATAAAAAAACTCAAGCACTATTTAAACATAGAAACACACCCAAAATCAACCCCAAAGTCAACTTTTTGGGTGTGTTTATAAATGGGTTTTGAGTGTGTGTAATGATGGGTTTTTGGTGTGTTTATATGTTTAAATAGTGCTTGGGTTTTTTATAATTACAGACCCCATTTTGGGTGTTTTAGTGAAACTCCCAAATTTTTATCGAGACTCCAAAAAATGTCATGTAATCATCCCTTACGAATTTACAATCAAATTTATTTGCACTACTAGAATCCGATCCAAAAAAAGATAGACGAACATAATCTTATTGATCGATCGTTCATCAAATTGAGACATTTGAGTTATCCATGGATCGAAAAATAGACGAATACAATGTTTTGAGACATTTGAGTTATCAATGATCGAAAAAATAGACGAAAACAATGTTTTCAATAGATTGACTAAATAATGCATGGCAAATTTCATAATAGGGACGCCAAGTGTTTTGATAGAAATATAGTATTTATTCTAGAGGAAATTGAAAAATCAAGTTGCCTTTCTTTTTGGGAAAATCATGTAAAATCAAGTTCAGTTGTTTGCTTTTCTGCTTACAAAATAATAATCATTTTATATCTATTTCTTTTTTTTTTTTTTTTTTTTTTTTTTTATGTTATGAGTAAAAACAAGTTCAACTTACGCCAACATATGATCCTGTATCATTACTACATGTAACCCAAAGTTGCATTTTATATTTCAGAAGGAAAATAAGTTATAAGACGACTCCATGGCTGATCAAAAGCTCATTATTGCAGTCAAAAATTATCAGAACTCCAAACGCTGCAAAAGGATGGCAAAAGAAAATTTTACCAATCATTATAGCTTAAGAAATTAGGGCTACCATCTGTCCAAAATTAAAAATTAAAAATTAGGGCTATCTACTTGAGCTGAAGCAATAAGAATCAATTGAATAAATTAAATGATTGCTAACAATCAATTTTTCATGTTTTTATTGTTGCAAATGAGAAAATGGAGAGAGACTTTCAAGCTCGGCACGTCTTTTGGCCGCCCTTCTGAACGGTTTCCGATTTCGCCACCATAAACGCTCTATCCCACTAGAACACCTAAAAAGATTGTTGGCATCTGTAATTGCACACATCTTTTGGTTTAGATCAGACTCTACTTTCTTTAGGTTCGTCCTGCACTTTGTGTGTGTAGGCGAAGGCGTTTTAGGCTCTACAAATTTGGCATCAGTACATCTGCCAAAGCATTTTGGGAAACCAAGTTACTGAAAAAAGGCACAGCAGTAATCGAAATAGGATGAAATATATTTTATAGGGACCAAACTGACCTCTCATGATCCACCCCCGACGCTGTAGAGAACACTTCAGTCTCTTGTGCTCGAGGCTCGCATGCAGGGCAAATGTAAACCTCTGGTGCAGAACGTAATTTAAGGCAATCAAAGTGATACCACTCATCACATTGGTCACATGCAATCATCGGCGTCGCCCGCTGATCATACGGCTTTCGACATATGCAATAAAGCATACTCCGAGTTTTCAATAACTGCACAAGTAAGCACAATTGTTTTTCTGGGGGGTCCGAGACCAAAGCACAAAAGGTTAACAAAAGGCCAAGGCACCCAACTAAGATAAGGACCGATTGTGTTACCTTAAGTTCCTTCTCCATACGAACAGGCAAGTTTTCACCCTCCAAAACAAGTTCAAAAACTTTACCCAGTGGCAGAGCCCCAGAATCTGCAGCTACCTGTGCACAGAAAAATGATGTCAAGTAATAGAAAGGGCATAGAGAGAGAGTGAGAGATCGTATTATCAATGCTCTGAACCTTCTTAGCATTATCTGCCCACTGCAAGCCAATACACTTCACTTCTGTAAGTTTCTGCCTATAGTAATCTCCAGGTGGAATATTCAAGGCAGCTCCCTACATAAGCAAACCATATGCAACATCTTGAGCACACTAAATCAAGAGATACATAATGCATTAACACAAACTAAAGCATAAAATAGAGGTTATTCTTTCCCACTAAAGTGCCTTTCCTTGATACAGGTTGCTCTTGCAGGAAAATCAAGAGTGAACTCGCACCAGAACATTTACGAGCTTTTTCTTTTTCTTCTTTAGTTTATAAAAGCAAATGAAACTCTGTAGCCATTTCTTGGTATTCAGTATTTGTACACAAGTACAGAAACACTTGATCTAATAACCAATAGTTGGAACATGTTTTTACGATACCACCATTTAGATTAAAGAATTTATCAGAATGGACTGAGAAATTGTTGTACAAAAAATCCATCTTGAGACCATAGAATGCACTTTAAATTCAATTAATACCAGCAGCACATACCTCTTTTAAATGCTGCTGAATCTGTTGGATTGTGGGCTTTTGTGAACCGTCCAGTGACTTGTTGACTTTGACTTTCCATGAGTATCTTGATAACACCAACATAAGGTTGCAATCGCCTTCATGATCATGTACACCTTCCATTTCTCTGGCCTGTATAACAAAAACAATTTCAATGATGAAGACATGCCAACTTCTGCCTACATCGTGGTTATTCCCATCTCATGACTATACTAAGATTGGCTACTTTCGAATCCTTTAAAAGATATGTAGCTATACTTGTATTATAAAATATTGCAAAACCCATTTGGAAGAGGAGGTGAGGGTTCATCATACTAAGAAAAGAATTCAATACTACAACAAAATGCTCCTTAAGATACCTTTAAAGCTGTGCTTAGTTTTCCAAAGATGACACTCAGATCTTTATCAGAATAAGCTAACGCAAAATCCACTATTTCTTTCAAGCGGGATTTGCATGCCAGAGCTTTCTTCATGACTTCTTTCAGTACCTCTCTTTCTTCAATACTGTAAATACAAATCATAATAAATCCCAAAACTTGAAGATCAATGCATTACTAAACAAGAGTTACTTCAAGAAGAGCAAGTATAGCACACTTAATTACCAAACACAGAAATCTTCTTCACCGGATAGATGTTTAATAATTTTTTGCAGTTCTGGACGCATCCCTCCAAATTTCTATACCATGTAAAAAGAATCTTATTAAAGATATTACCGATACAAGCTTCCTTAAAAAAAAACACAAAACAACTTAATACATACCAGACTGCCTCCATTTTGAGAAGTTGTTCCACATTCCAGATATTGGCAACAAGGGCATACATACTTTGCATGTTTTGCATCTACTATGGAAGTTCCTAGACACCGCCCATGGTAGCTGTTCATATGAAATATTTCGAGTTAAAACTTATAACAGAGAGGGGAAAGAATCTCAGGAATTGTGTTTCTTGCTTGAAATTCTTCACAGGAAAACAACAAAGTACTAATAATAAAGTACTAATAAAGATTGATGCGCAAAATTGAGATTGAGATATCAACCCACTGTGAAAACAATAAAGTACTAATAACAACATTCAAAGGACCTGCAAAACTTTGAAATAGCAATAAATACCTTACCAGTCCTTGCACGAAGAACAAGTAAGAAATTCCTGATCCAGAGAACCACTGGAGCAGCACGCATAATAACCACTCTCTTTCAAGCCATGCGGCTTATCATATATGTGCATAGATCTATCTAGAGCCTGACTTATCTGTGAATTAATAGAAAAGATTTCAAAGTATCTGAGATGGCGCTAGAAGGAAAACATTGCAATCAGATGTAACATATTGCCAAAGCGTTTTAGTTTGAAACCTTTTCTAGAGCACCAAGCAATGAATCCTCATCTTCAATTAGACTCTTGACAATATCCATGCACTGTCGTTTCCAACTCTCAACCCTTCCAACTTCAGATATGATCAAATCTAGTTCTGTGCAACTGAAAGCAACAGAAACTCCAAGTTCCTGAATGTGATTGAATCATATTAGGCATGTTGGCAAAGAAGTTATGCCAAATACATAATTGAGTGCAATTATCAATCAATAATACAACAAGAAAAAGCAGCCAAAAGCTCTGCAAGGTTTGCCAAGCCAAAGTGTTGTAGACTTCAACAATCATAGAAGTCACCATTTATAATCAATCATCAAATATGCTGAGAACATTATACATACAAATCACGACAGTTATTCACAGTTGTTGCATTTTTAAAAAAAAAACATAAATGCAGAACTGCAAGATGCAACTACCTACCCAGTAACTAGTAAGAGTCTAATCTAAAGGTAAACACCCTATATAATAATCACCCACCAACTAATTCAAAATAACCTAAAAGTTAAGAGTCATCTCTGCACATGCAGTGCATGTGTAGGAGGGCTAATCATAAAGAGAACAATGTCAAACTTAGTGATTTCTGAAGCACTAAAGAATGTACAAGCAAACGAATTGACATCATACCTTTAGCTGTAACATTAGTGACCAAGATCGTTCCCCCGGCCTTAAACTGAAAAGTTGATGCACTTGCTCAAGCCAATACCTACAATACAGTCAAATGATTTGCAATAAATCATCATGGTAATGAAAGAGAAAGGTCTTTAAAATGTAAAAAATTATGTATTTTTAACCCCCACATTGAGAAACTTATAACCAAAAGTTGAGTTTTTTTCAACCCCCAGACTGTTTTATGCTTATTGCTGAGTTCAATGGTTTATGTTTCCCCCATACTGATCAAATGGACTAAAAGTAAAAGCAAGCACTTCACCTAAAGAGATCATAATATGATATGACCAGACAACACGCCACTGACTCAAGCAGAACTCTGAAGTTCTAGAAT